CTCCAAAGAGAAAGGGAAACTTGAAATCGCATATGACCCCTTTAAAATTGTAATAATATTGCACAATATTACTGTTTTTACTTTTGTCAAAACAAATGCAGACTTTTTTCCAAAGACAAAAAAAGTACAGACTCCAAACTGTTGAAAAGTAGTGTATATTATAATAGTAATTATAAAAAAATGTATACTGCACGTTTTTATTATTGTAATCCAATAATGATTTAGTTATTGTGTCAAAATAAACGTAATAACGTAAAAATAAAACTGGTCACAAGACAACAAAGTGCAACCCAGACAAACTAATCTAATCAATTCACTAACGGAGACTGAACGTCAACTCCATATCGGAAGGAAGCAGCACTAGATAATCTAATCAAGTTTCAAAACACACTGTAAGATTTTGTGTTTTTAAACTGACACATTCTTAAAATCAACACAGGTCATTCACAAGAACCCAGATTAATCACATCACACACTCGAAACAACAGATGATAAAACACTACATTTTTACTACACAGCATTTTAAAACATCATAGATGCTCTACAGATGCAAAGCAAGCTCCAAAAGTTAAGAATATTGTCCCTACTTTTAGCCAAATAGAGCTAAAGTAGCACTGCATATGTCCTTTACTGAGAAGACAATCCCATAATCCCCAGCAATAAACTCAGTAATGAAAAGTATTTATAAATCTTTGTTTTATAAAAATACAAAAATAATCAGTTTTAGAGTATCATGCCATTAGATTAGCAATATGCTACATCAAAACTTACTGAAATCAACTGTGAGTCACATTCTCCAGTGTGTAATACTAATTGTGTCATGATGGTCTGCACACACTGCCTATTTAATTACAGCCTAATTTCAGGGTGACTGTGAAGGGTTTAAATAATCCATCCTGTTTCTTTTTGTATGGTCTTCGGCAGCAGGTAGGTACAATCACAAAAAAAGCTGTTTATTTTTTGTGGTTATGCATGATATCAATCATTAAGAAAGCTGCAGTCTGTTCTGTCAGCCCATGTGTGTGTGTGTGTGTGTGTGTGTGTGTGAGTGGATTCATGCTTCAGTAAATGGGTGGGGTTGAGGTGTGGTCTCACAAAGGTCTTCCTGCTATTACATCCCATGTGGAACCTTCGCATTCATCCTCTGCTTAGCACACAATGCACAAAAAAAACAAAAACATAAACAAGGCATAATTCACATCCATTCAATCCTGGTTCTGATCCCAAGCTCCAACACCAATGTACTGCTCACTTTTAAATAAACACTTAAGCGTCGTACACACAATGCGAGTACTTAAAATGACCTCAAGCAGAGGCCAAATTTTATCTTTGTGGCGTGTTGAAATTCCAGCCTGGAAAACTCAGGACTTTGCGATAAACATAAAGCAAACATTTTCTAGACTTCTCTCGGCACACATACACCCAATAATAGGTATTTGAGAGACATATCTCAAGTTTAAGGGTCATTTGATGTGTCAGCCTTCCCTTCTCTGGTCCAACAAACAAGGAATAAACAGAAATGAATAATTAGGAGTGAAAATATCAAAACACAACTAGAAAAAATATATTCTTAAAAAAATATTTCGTAAAAGATATGAAAGATATTCTTATTTATTATTAAAGCTGCTCACTGCTGCATTAAAACCAAAATGCTGGATAACGCTGAAAATCAGTTACCCAAACTAATCACTTCTTCGAGATTGTAAAAGGATTACTCTACTAATTACACTGTCTGAACTGAAATGATTGAATGTCTGCAGACTCTGCACACATTACCCACTACTGAAATCATTTCTAAAACATATACCCAACATTTAGCTACTAGTTGGGCAATACAAAGACAGATAACAAAATGTTGAATATCAAATACTTTTTAAACACTATTTAAATAAAAAACTAACTGAATCTTTCAGTACAGTAGTTAGGTTAGATTAGTTGCCATGTTGCTGTATCAAACGCAACAAAATGGTTGAGAGATATTTTCCACCAGGGCATAACTTATATTACTTTGAATTTTTGACATTTGCAAATAAGAATATTGCAGTAAAATGTAAGTATTTTCATAAAGCAAAATGGTACTAACAACGCCAAGGTCACAAGCTTTGATTCCCAGGGAATGCATGAACTGATAAAATGTATAGTAAGAATGCAATACAAGTCACTCTGGATAAAAGCGTCTGTCAAATGCATACATTTAAATGTACATTTATAGATGGGTTTATTCGTGGTGTTGTTGCTGCTTGCTTCCTACATTCATTTCCAACACACACTGGTTCCAACACAACATACCTTTCATTAGCCAAGCTGCACTTCCCCTTTCTTACTTTAATTTCCCTGAGACTCATCTGCTTACAGAACCAGTTTATGTTATAACTAATAGGGCTATCAAATAATTTTTTGAATATTCGTCAAATTTAAAATAAAAATCCACATTTTTAGGTGTGCGTTAAAGTCCGCATGAAATCAAAATGTATTTTATTTACTTTACTAGCGCACATTGCTAGAAATGATGTGAACAATTAATCCGTGCAAGTTAATCCGCTGAAAAAAATTGTTTGTCTTCGTAATCTTTAATCAAAATCTGAACATTTACTTCTGCTCTGGAATGGCCTTCCTTTTCTGATGACATCAGTTTGACGGCTTGGGCAGAATATCCTTAAACACACCCCTCCAACCGTTAGATTGCTATGAGTGAGAGACCGAGAGGAGGAGCGCAAAAATAAAACCATGCCCTCTATTCAATATTCCGTTTCAGCTGGAAATACGTCACTACACTGAAATAAAGTCGGCAGCAACTTCCGGTTCACGC